AATCAGCTTCTCTCAACTTCCCTTTGACTCACCTAGAATGATCAAAGGAAGTTGGAAGTCATCTAGTCCAATCCCTGCACAAGCAGAAGTGTCAATATCATTCCTGACAAATGGCTGTCCAATCTCTTTTTGAAAACCTCCAGTGATGGACCACCAACTTCTGAAGGCAAATCATTGCACTGATTAATTGTTCTCACTCTCAGGAATGTTCTCCTTAGTTCTAGGTTGCTTCTAGGTTGCTTCTCTCCCTGATTAGTTTCCATCCGTTGTATCCTGTCTCACCTTCTGCTTCTTTGGTAAATTGTTAGCCCCCCATATCTTTGTGACAGCCCCTCAAATATTGGAACGTTTCTATCATAGATCCCCTAGGCCTTCTTTTGACTAATCTAGACATACCCAATATTAGACAGAGACATGCCCACACATTTCCTTATGGGTATGGAAGCATGGGCACGGTGGTGCTGAAATTCTCTGTTGGTTATATAATTGCATTGCACAACACTTCCTGAACCGCTAGTGTGGTGTTTCTCAATCTTGGCAGCTTTAAGATGGGTGAACTTCAACTCCCAGAATTCCCCAGTCAGCATTCGCAAACACAGGGAACAACACTTGAGAGCAACTGCATCAAGACAAGATTCAGCTCTCAATCTGCATTTAAAAGACAGAGGCCACTCTTTGGAAGACAGCAAAGTCCACAATATATGTCCAAATTGAACAGCCCTCTCTCAACTGAGGGGGAAGGGATATGACATCATCTATCTCCAGTCTACGACACAGTCTTTTCAGCAATGCCAGGAAGGTGCCACACCAGTGACGTGGGGTGAGGATTACGGTTGGTGAGGTAAGAGCGCAGCAGCGGTGAGAAGCAACGTCCCCGCCGCTGTGTCCGATAGGCATCTCACGTTTATGTCCACCATAAATGCGAGATGCCTGTCGGACACAGCGGCAGGGATGGAGGAGGTGTGGGGTGAGGCAGCGGGCAGTGGCCGTGACAACGCCCGGCGGAGAGACGTGCACTGGGCTGGGCTTCGTCAGCTTCTCCCTGCTGGAGTGGGCCGTGAGCAAGATCTACATCTTTGGCGGCCGCTGGGTCAGCCTGGCGCTGGCGCAACCCAAGAAGAAGTGAAGGGCAGCAGGAGAAGGCGGCGGCGGCGAAGAGGCCCCCGGGAAGCGCCGGAGCCCCTCAAGGCCAGGAGGTCCCCCAAGAAGGCCCAGCTGATCGTCCGCAACCTCAGCTTCAAGCGGCGACACAGACACAGTGGCGGGGACGGAGGAGGCGGGGGGACCAGCGGCAGGCGGTGGCCATGATGGCGCCCGGCAGAGAGACATGAACCGACCTGGAGCGGGAGTTCGGGCAGGTGGGGCCGGTGCGGCAGGCGGTGGCCATGACGGCGCCCGGTGGAGAGATGTGCACCAGGCTGGGTTTCATCAACTCCCTGCTGGAGGACGCGCAGCGGGCCCTGAGCAAAATCCGCATCTTTGGCAGCTGCCGGGTTAACCTGGCGCTGGTGCAGCCCAAGAAGAAGCGAAGGGCAGCAGGAGAAGGTGGTGGCAGCGGCGGTGAAGGGGCCCTCCGGGAAGCGCCGGAACCCCCCAAGGCCAGGGGGCCACCCTAGAAGGCCCGGCTTATCATCCGCAACCTCAGCTTCAAGCGGCGACACAGACAAGTGGTGGGGATGGAGGAGGCGGGGGGAGGCGGCGGGCGGTGGCCGTGACAGCGCCTGGCAGAGAGACATGCACCGACCTGGAGTGGGAGTTCGGGCAGGCGGGGCCGGTGCAGTGGGCGGTGGCCGTGATGGCGCCCGGCAGAGAGACATGCACCGGGCTGGGCTTCGTCAGCTTCTCCCTGCTGGAGGACGCGCAGCGGGCCCTGAGTGAGATCCACATCTTTGGCAGCCGCCGGGTTAGCCTGGCGCTGGCGCGGCCCAAGAAGAAGCCAAGGGTGGTAGGAGAAGGCAGCGGCGGCGAAGAGGCCCTCCGGGAAGCGCTGGAGCCCCCCAAAACCAGCCCCCCCCAAGAAGGCCCGGCTGATCGTCCGCAACCTCAGCTTCAAGCGGTGACACAGACACAGCGGCAGGGATGGAGGAGGCGGGGGGCGAGGCAGCAGCCGGTGGAGAAAGGGGAGAGGAGGAGGAGGAAAGGGAGAGGGGAGNACTCTTTGGAAGACAGCAAAGTCCACGTTCTGGACAGAGAGGACTGCTGGTTTTAAAGAGGGGTGAAAGAGGCCATGTATGTCCAAATTGAACAGCCCTCTCTCTCAACAGAGGGGGAAGGATATGACATCATCTATCTCCAGTCTACGACACAATCTTTTCGGCAATGCCAGGAAGGTGCCACACCAGTGACGTGCGGTGAGGATTACGGTTGGTGAGGCAAGAGCGCGGCAGCGGTGAGAAGCAACATCCCCGCCACTACTGTGTCCGATAGGCATCTCGCATTTATGTCCGCCATAAACACGAGACACCTGTCGGACACAGTGGCGGGGATGGAGGAGGCGGGGGCAAGGCGGCGGGCGGTGGTTGTGACGGCGCCCAGCAGAGAGACGTGCACCAACCTGGAGCGGGAGTTTGGGCAGGCGGGGCTGGTGCGGTGGGCGGTGGCCGTGACGGCGCCCGGCGAAGAGACGTGCACCGGGCTGGGTTTCATCAGCTTCTCCCTGCCAGAGGACGCGCAATGGGCCCTGGGCGAGATCCGCATCTTTGGCGGCCACCGGGTCAGCCTGGCGCTGGCACGGCCCAAGAAGAAGCGGAGGGTGGCAGGAGAAGGCGGTGGCAAAGCGGCCCTCTGGGAAGCGCCAGAGCCCCCCAAGGCCCCCTCCAAGAAGGCCCGGCTGATCGTCCGCAACCTCAGCTTCAAGCGGCAACACATACACAGCAGCGGGAATGGAGGAGGCGGGGGGTGAGGCGGCAGCCAGTGAAGAAAGGGGAGAGGAGGAGAAGGAAAGGGAGAGGGGAGCAGGACGGGGCTCCTGGTGGGGGGGAGAGGAGAAAGGGAAGGGGGGCACATCAGGCAAACGAAAGAAAGCCCTAGCCCGCCAGCAGAGGTGGGTAAAAGACCCGCTTCTGCTGGCAGGCTGCCCCTCTTTTCTCAAAGAAGGCTGCCCTCCCTTCCTCTCCCCCTTCCCTCTCTTCTTAAACAAACTCTCTCTCAAATTGAGAGAGAGTTTGTTTGAGTGAAGTGAAGAAAGAAACACATGCATGCACGCACGCACACACACACACAGACAAAAATTACTCACAATAAAAAATTATTTACAAATTAAATTACAATAATTTTGAATTCCCCCCTCCCTCCATCCNTTGACCGGGTTCCTCGGAAGATAAGAGTTTGCAGGGGGTCGATCTAGCACCCGGGCTGGCTACCAGAGAAACATTCATTCTTGGCCATATTGAGATTCCTAACTGCAATGGACAACAAACCGAGGGTTGACCCCGGGCACTTCTCTCCGCTAACAGATGGCCAAGCTAAGTGCCTGAAGGACCCCCATCTCGTCACTAATTCATATTAGTGGTCCAGGGGATTGAAAATTATGAATGTAATGGTCCCTGATGTCCAGAAGGTTGGTGAGCCCTGCATTGGTGGTAACATCAGAGCGATTCCTTCAACTAATTTTCAGATAATCAGATTCTCATAAAAACGTGGTTGCCTGGTGAAGTCTTAAGAGCTCCCTCCCTCCCTCCTACACTCAGCAGGAGAAAGACTTAATTGCCCTGCAATAAAAAAGGCGGCTTTGACCCAAAGCAAGGTGGAGAAACCACAGGCTTCACGCATCCACACTTGCTTGGAGCAATCCATCTTTCTCCAGGATTATTTTTGGCAAAGTGGAAGACAGATTCATCTTCCTCCTGTTTGCTCTCTAATGAGCTCACGATAAAGTAGATCATGGCTTCCCCACCCCCACCCCGCTGCTTCCTTTTATTATTATTTTTTACAACAGCCCTGTGAGATATTTTAATTCAAGAAATGGAGACTGACACAAAACGTCCCCGTGACTTTTACAGCTGAATTTGTAGAGGTGTGAACCCTGGGTGCTCTGTTAGAACAGCCCTGGGCTGGGCATCGTTTTGTTAACTGCCCTGTTCCAGCCTTGGACTGGGCACTCTTTCTGCTCCCTGGTGGCTGGGCTCTAATGCTGCTATTTGAACGTGGTATATGCAGTGCCATGCAGTGAGCCATGTGCAGATCAGTACGCTGGGGAAACAAAACAACCACTTCATAAACACATGGCGCAACAAAGGAGAACAAACTCATCAGGACAAGATTCAGCTCTCCATCTGCATTTAAGAGACACAGGCCACTCTTTGGAAGACAGCAAAGTCCACGTTCTGGACAGAGAGGACTGCTGGTTTTAAAGAGGGGTGAAAGAGGCCATGTATGTCCAAATTGAACAGGCCTCTCTCTCAATAGAGGGGGAAGGATCTATCTCCAGTCTACAACACAGTCCATTCAAGAGAAAGGTCTTAAAAGAAAAACCAGAAAGTCCAGTTGCCTCTTGAAAAAGCACCTTTGAGACAACCAGGACCTGGAGGATGGAGAATCTCCATAGATATCTGGAAGCTGCCTGCAGTCCTTGGGAATGCAGCAACATAAAAGCCAAGAAACATTAAATGGAATTCCACAGCCATATGTACTTAGAGCCCCCTTCATGGATTAGGGCCCCATCAACATTAAGAAAACTAAGGTCATGGCATCTGGCCCTCTCAATTCCTGGCAAATAGATGGGAGAGAAATGGAGGGAGTGACATATTTTATTTTCCTGGGCTCCAAGATCACCGCAGATGGGGAGTGCAGCCAAGAAATTAAAAGACACTTGTTCCAGGGTGGAAAGCTACGGCAAATCTAGACAGCCTACTAAAAAGCAGAGCCATCACCCTGCCAACAAAAGTGCATATAGTCAAGACTATAGTTTTCCCAGTTGCAATGGATGGCTGTGAAGGTTGGACCATAAGGAAGGCTGAGCGCCAAAGAATGGAGGCCTTTGAACTCTGGTGCTGGAGAAGACCCCTGCGAGTCCCTTGGACTGCAAGGCCATCCAACCGGTCAGTCCTAGAGGAGATCCACCCTGACTGCTCTTTAAAAGGCCAGATCCTGAAAAGGAAACTCAAAGACTTTGGCCACCTGATGACAAGTAAAGACTCCCTGGAGAAGAGTCTAGTGCTGGGAATGATGGAGGGCAAAAGAAGGGGACAGCAGAGAATGAGGAGGCTGGATGGAGTCCCTGAAGCAGTCGACGTGAGTTTCAATGGACTCCAAAAGATGGTAGAGGACAGGAAGACCTGGAGGAACGTTGTCTATGGGGTCGCAATGGGTCAGACACGATTTTACAACTAACAAGAACAGCATGGACTTAGGGAAGCTGCAGGGCAACAAGGATAACAGCTTGAAGATAGCTGGAAAAGGATGGCAAGATGACTCCTTCTGAAGGGAATTTCAGAGAATCTGGACTGGGTCAACTGCTGTCATTTCCTTTGTTCTCCCCTGGATTTAGGTCTATTATAAAGTCCTCAAACTTCCCATTAAATTAATTTCAGTGTCCTCCAACTCACCCGTGCTGCCCAAGAGGAACAGATGATGGCCCCAGACTTACTTGGACTTATTGAGGCTGGCTTCTGCAGCTGCTGCCTGTAGCAGTTGTGTTGATTTACTGGCTGGGACCCCAAAGACGGTGCTGTGGGTCACATCGCTTAGAATCCGCCGGTGGCCACCTCGCTGAGTCTTGGGGGACGATGGTGGTGTGAGAGACCCCACCTTCTGTCCCTGGATAGCTGATGGAGGAGTGGTTGACATCTTTTGTTGTCTTGGAGGTGCTTGCTTTTAGGAAAACAAAACAGGGAAACAGGGATAAGAAAAAGGAAGAGAAAGAAAGAAAAAAAGGAAGAAAGAAAGAGAGAAAGAGAAAGAGAGAGAAAGAGAGAAAGAGAAAGAGAGAGAGAAAGAGAGAAGGAAGGAAGGAAGGAGGTATGGCAACTATTCAGAAGCTTCTGTAGTAGACAATTCTTTATGAACACATCAAACAATTTAACAGAAATGAAAATGCAACGAAGCAGGATTGCATCACAAAGCATCAGATTATTACCATGTGTATGATTGGTTATTCCATAATCTCCTGCAAGGAAAATATAAATCTTTTGTTCTGGGTGTGTAGAGGCACACAAGCACATGCTTAACAATAGCAATAGCCCTTAGACTTATATACCGTTTTACAGTCCTTTACAGCCCTCTGTAAGCAGTTTATAGTGTCACTCTTTTGGCCCCAACAATCTGGGTCTTCATTTTACTGACCTCAAAAGGATGGAAGGCTGAGTCAACCTTGAGCCTAGTGAGATTCGAACTGCCAAATTGCAGGCAGCCAGCAGTCAGCAGAAGTAGCCTGCAGTACTGCATTCTAACCACTGTGCCACCGTGGCTCAGAGAGCTATTCACACAGAATTTCCCTCCCTGTATATATGGAAGGCGAGAGAGGTCAAAACGCACCATAATACCTAAATAAGATTAACCTAATTTCTATCAATTTCCAAATGAGGGACCCCTTCAAAGGATGTGGAAGGAAGCCCCCAACCTCTTCGAAAACAGGAAAGACAGAAGATTCCCCCATCCCAGAACTGTTGTAAGTCTATTTTCTTGCCTCTTTTCTAATCACAGCACAAGTCCTAACCTGACCTACCAGGTTTTCATTTCTTTTGGAACCCACCTGTGTCATTTCCCACCCAGCCTCAGCTAAATTTTCACAGGTAACTTATGATGCTATTCAGATAGTTGAGAGATGGAGGAAGCAGCTGAATTATTTGCTGATTTATGACAAACACTTGTATGCTGGCCCATTACATCCTGCCTTCCTTAAGAAGCAAAGCCAAGTTGGGTTTTGAGGGAGAATCAGTCTCCTTCCCTCCCTCCCCCCCTCTCTCTGTCTCTCCCTCTCTCTGTGTCTCAATCTCTGTTGGTCTCCCTCTCTCTCTCTCTCTCTCTTTCTGTCTCTCTCGCTTGCTCGCTTTCTATCTCTCTGTCTCTCTCTCCCTCTCTGTCTCTTTCTCTTTGTCTCTGTCTGTCTGTCGCTGTCTGTGTCTCAGTCTCTGTCAGTCACTCTCTCTCTCTTTCTATCTCTGTCGGTCTGTCTCTCTTTCTGTCTTTCTATATCTGTCTCTTTCTATCTCTGCCTCTCTTTCTGTCTGTCTCTCTTTCTGTGTCTCTGTCTCTGTCTCTCTTTCTATCTGTCTCTCTCTCTGTCTCTCTCTCTGCCTCTCCCTTTCATTTTGTCGCTCTCTTTCTCTACCCCTCCCCCCTTAAATTGTTAGTATGAGCACTGTGTCCTTTTGCCCTGATGCCCATGGAATTAATAAAAGTGATGACCAAAGAAATCTCTTCATTCAGGCACGTTTTACTTCCGTTAGCAAGAATATTTGGGGGTGGGGAGCAGGCAGGGAGGGGCTTTTCTCCCAGACCAGCTCTTGAAACCAGATGGTTTCAGCAACTCAGAGCAACAGGGAAAATTGTGCGCAAAGACCCCAAGCTCTGGGTTGGAACCCACTTCCCTGCCATTTTTATTTGAACGCACGCAAGAGCCAGAAGAGCCTGGATTTAAAGAAACAAATGGGAATGATTACAGTGCAATATAATTAAGAGTCAGTCTGTAAGGGGGGGAGGGAGGGGGAGGTGCAGGGAGGATGAAATTGACTTGCCAGCATCTGCAGGAATGGGAGGAGAGACTCCTGGCAAGGCTCCAGCCTTTTATTCGGAGGCAGCTGCTTCTCTTGATGCAGGAAAAGCCCATTTTCGTTAACCAAAGAGCACTTGATAAGCGCATACATTATAAGCATTAAATGGAAGGTCTGTTAGGATGGATGGGAGAGCTCTGGAAGTAAGAAACTATGGGGCTTCAGCACAGCTAACCCTAAAAGTATATAACACATACCCAATCCCATGAGCCTTTCCAGGTTGCCCCTTAGTCCCTCTAAGGCAGAGGTCTTCGAAATTGGTCACTTTAAGACCTGTGGACTTCAACTCCTAGAATTCTCCAGCCAGCATAATTTACCCTCTTGTAATCCCTTCTTCTGCAATCTCTCCACTTAGATCAGGGGTCTTCAAACTTGGCAACTTTAAGACCTGTGGACTTCAACTCCTAGAATTCTCCAGCCAGCATAATTTACTCTCTTGTCATCCCTTCTTCTGCAATCTCTCCACTTAGATCAGGGGTCTTCAAACTTGGCAACTTTAAGACCTGTGGACTTCAACTCCCAGAGTTCCCCAGCCAGCATAACTTACTCTCTTGTCATCCCTTCTTCTGCAATCTCTCCACTTAGATCAGAGGTCTACAAACTTGGCAACTTTAAGACGTGTGGACTTCAACTCCCAGAATTCCCCAGCCAACATAACTTATTCTCTTGTAATCCCTTCCTCTGCAATCTCTTCACTTAGATCAGAAGTCTTCAAACTTGGCCCCTTTAAGACTTGTGGACGTCAACTCCCAGTATCCTCCAGCATAACTTACTGTTTGGGGACCCCTGCTCTATGAATTCCAGGTAACAACCTTGAAAATCCTGCTTCTATTCACAGAAGGTTCTGGGTGTTGGCAATCAACCGGTGAGCCAGGGGAAGGAGTCAAACAGGGAAGTAGTCTAGTATCTGTACATAGTTGCAAGAGGTGATGTCTGAGGTGATGTCTGAGGTGATGTCCTCTTGGATGCCATTGAGCCTCATCTAGTCTAAGCCAGGTGCTAACCATTAGTCTGATATTCCCGTGTGTAGGCTTGGGCAATAGAACAACGAACTGAACTCTTCACGTATGGATCTGGTTATTGGCTTCTGCAAAAGACACCTCTTGCCTATAGTCAAGCTGCTACTAGTAGTAGAGTGAGCAGATGAGAAGAGCTGTGGGCCATTTATCTTTTGCATGCTAATTGTCCAGCCTGCGGCTCTCCACAGACCTCCCTTGCCTCAACTTTTCAGGGAATAGAAAGGATCCCTCACTGAAATGCTTTCTCTAGCCTTCATGCCTTCTGAGGGCTGAGATATCATTTCTGGTCTGTCTAGGCTGTGTCTCTTCCTCTAGTCCCTCAAGATTCTTTTCACAGTCCATTGGGTAAAGGCAGGCAAGGCAGGCAAGGGAGCCCACCCCCATTTTTCACTGTTCAGAGGGGACACCAGTTGCAGGAAAAGGGACCCGAGGAATCCATGTGGTGCTGGGACCTCAAGTCAGCCACCTCTGAGCTACATGGACCCCTTGTGATTTGCAAAGAAGAGAATCTGGGGAGAAAACCAAGGACTTCACATCCAATTCCAATTGAAGGGATGATTGGCCGCATCTCAAGGACTTCTCCTTGGACTGAAACACACCACTCTCCATTTCAGTGGTGACATTTAATTTTTTTCTCTATCGGTTCGGTGGGTATGGCTTGATGGAGGGATTTTCTTGGGACTGAGTGGGCATGGCCAACTCGATGTCATTCATGGCCACACCCACTCAGTCACATGACACCACCACCAAAAAATGTATGCATGAACATAGTGAATGCTGTGGCAGAGAGAATCTATTCTTTAATGTTTTTCCTTCCATTCACAGCAGAGCTGCTGCTCCCTTTATGGTCGTTGTTCCCCCACCCCTCCTTCCCGGGGTCTATCTTAAAGGACAGGCTGCAGAGCTCTGCTGTGAATGGAGGAAAAAATGTTTGGATTCTCTCTGCTGCATTTAACGTTGAATTCTGTAGCAGAGAGAATCCAAATGTTTCTCCCACCATTCACAGCAGAGCTTCATGCCCTCCTGCCCACCTTCCTCCTTGGGTCTACCTTAAAGGGACAGGTTGCAGCAGCTCTGCTGTAAGTGGAGAGAGAAACGTTCAGATTGGGTGGGCGCGTGCGTCAAGCAGCCAGAAGAGGTGTTGATCGGGCAAGCTGGTGGCCGTTGACGGGGCCACCAGGGATTTCTGCCATCGGTTTGGAAAACCGTTGCCAATTGTCCCTGCCGGTTTGGCTGAACCAGGCGGAACTGGGAGGATTTCACCCCTATTCTATTTGCATCTCAGAATAAACACAATCAAAGTTTTAAGGTTCACAGAGGCATAAACTGGCCATGCGAGGTTGGTCCATATCACACGCTAGGCTAATGGGTGGTTGCCTATTGTTGAATGTATAGCTTGTTGTCTTCTCCAAACACAACTACTTGTCCACCCCATTGTTCTGGGAGGCCAAGGGGTCTTCCGTTTCCTGTTTTCCTTGGCATTTGCTCCCCAAAGCCAAGCTCTACTATGCCCAAGCAGGGCACTGCCCACAAAATGAACGTTTATACAGCCATGCAATGCAAAGTAAAGGCCAAGGAGGCCCACTGAAACAGAGCTAACTTCAGCTCTTCATTCCAAATATGGAATCAACTTCTTCCAAATTCTTTTTTCAGTAATTTGGAATTTTGCAAACCATCCCACCCACATGGCCATCCCAGCCCCTGCCGGCTCTGCTAAAGGAAGGTCTCCTCCAGGCATGGAAGGGAGGCCAAAACAAACACCAGAGCTGCTCTCCCATCTGCCTTGGCCCAGCAGGCTGAAAGGAAGCCAAGCGAGGGAAGAAAGGCTGCCTTATGCAGGAGAGGCTTCATCCACTCCCAGCACAAAGCAGGGTCAGTTCAGCAGTCAATGATCAGTCAAATAACAATAAAGTATTTAAGAGTATTAATGCTATGAGGTCAGAACTTATGCCAATTATGAGGCAGATACATGAATGATTTGGCTGCAGTCATCACAGACTGGCAGAACTGTAATATTTATCTTGATAACTCTATATCTGCTTTTCCTCCAGGTTGCCCATCAAAATGAGATCTCATCTACTGAATGTCAACTCCCAATGTTGCCATAGCAGGAGAAGGAGGGCAGCGCATTCCAGGCATACTGCCGGCTGAAGTTGGGCTCTCAGATTACTGCAGCAGGCTTGGGAGGGGTGCACCTCATTGGGGAATGTGATTTATGACACAGACTGAGGGGAGGGAAGGAACAGGGGTAAAGTTCAGCTATAGTTCAAACAAAGCTTAGATCTGATCTATGGTGCTCCTAATAAATAACTAGTTTTGTACTGAAACTTGACTCATTCGTGAATCAATTAGGGCATTTTTAGGAAACCTGACAGACAGTCAGATCTAAGCTTTGTTTGAGTTATAGCTGACCTTTACTGGACCTTGTGGTTGTGGGTCAATCTGAGCCTGGTTCTCCAACGATTCACACTCAATGGTAGGCACTGATGGGAGTCTGTATTCCAGATGTGGAAATCCCTGCAGTGCTTGTAATCTAAAGAGGCACCTCGCTGTCTCGATTTACTCCAGTAGTAAATCTACACCGAACTCTATGCTCACATATCCTCCCACAGACGACATTAAAAAAAGGAAAGAAAAAGAACCATCATTTGCACTGGTCAATTGACCGGAATCCTCTCCACCCAAGGAGGCTGCATGGTTCCTACAGACAATCTGTCTGAAACATGCCAGCTGTCAATTCCCAAAGTTGTCATGGTGAGAGGAGGAGGGGGAGTGCATTCCACACATACTTTCAGCTCAGATTACTGCAGCAGGCTTGGGAGGGGTACACCTCATTGGGGAAATGTGATTTATGACACAGACTGAGGGGAGGGAAGGAACAGGGGTAAAATTCAGCTATAATTCAACATAGCTTAGATCTGACTGCAATAAATGCTCCTAATAAATGACTACCGTATTTTTCAGAGTATAAGATGCACCTGAGTAGAAGATGCACCAAGTTTTGAAGAGACAAATTAAAAAAAAAGTGTTTGCACTCTGCAAACCTCCCCAAAATGTCCCGTTTTTTGCAAAAACGCACCCTTTCCCCCCCCCCCCAAAAAGGCATGAATAGCCTTTAGGGGGCTTGCAGAGTGCTCCTGGGGGGGGGGGCAAAATGGGCAAAAAATGGCCATTTTTGTCAAGGAAATTGCATGTATAGCCTTTAGGGGGTTTATAGAGTACTCCTGGGGCTAGGCAAAATTGAGCAAAAATGGCCCGTTTTTCACTCATTTCTGCCCTCCCAGCCCCAGGAACTCTCTGAAGCCTTCTACAGGCTATGCACAGCCGTTTTGGTGAAGGGGCGGGGTTTCAGGAGTCCAGCAATACTGTATTCAGTGTATAAGACGCACACAGATTTTCAGTCTCTTTTTTGAGGGAAAAAGGTGTGTCTTATACTCCGAAAAATACAGTAATTTTCCTTTGAAGTTTCATCCAAGTCTCATGAATCAAGTAGGGCATTTCTTGGAAACCTGGCACCAGCTTTGTAAAGTAGAGCAAACCAAAGAGATCAGGATCACTTTTTTTTGGTAAAACCTCTATTAGCAGAAATGTATAAGGCCCCGTGTGCTTCCTCTTACCTCCTTCATGGGAACTAGGAAGTGGAATTGTTTTCCCAAGTTATTTTCTTGGAACAGGCTTAAGCCGCATTTCTCTCATGATTATACAGGTGGTTCTTGACTTACAACAGCAATTAAGCCCAGAATTTCTGTTGTTAAGCAAGGCAATTGTTAAGTGAGTGACACCTAATATTACTTTTTTGTTGTTGTTGCTATGGTGGTTAAGCGAATCACGTGCAGTTGTTAACAACAGGGTTGTTAAGTGAATCTGGCCTTGGCAGAAGGTCACAAAAAGCAATCCCAGGACCCCGGGACAGCCGTTATAAATACATACTAATTGCCAAGTGCCCAAATTTTGATCATGGGACTACAGGGATGGCTGACCATGCTTAGTGCAAGGACAAGTTGCAAGTCACTTCTTCCATGCTGTTGTAACTTTGAACTGTCACTAAATGAACGGTTATAAGTCAAGGACTCCCTGTATCAGCAACAGACCTTCCCACAGCCCTTCAAGGCCACTCCTTCTGCCTCCACAAACACGAGTCACAGCGCTACCAAAAGCACAGTTATTAGTGCCTTTTGCATAACGGTTCCACAGGTTTACTACCTGGAGTAGCCTTTCGCCTTGGATTTTGCAGATCGGTTCACATTGCTACTTCCAGAACAGAACCGGTTGGTCCACCAGCAGAATCTAGTTCCAGTTCAAGCTACTAGTTTTGACCAGTTTTGGTCACCAAACTATAAAAAAAGATGTTGAGACTCTAGAAAGAGTGCAGAGAAGAGCAACCAGGATGATGAGGGGACTGGAGGCAAAAACATATGAAGAACAGTTGCAGGAACTGGGCCTGGCTAGTCTAGTGAAGAGAAAGACCAGGGGAAACAGGAGGGCATCTTCCAATATTTGAGGGGCTGCCACAGAGAGGCGGGGGTCAAGCTATTTTCCCAAGGTAAGACAAGGAACAATAGATGGAAACTGACCAAGGAGAGATTCAACCTGGAAATAAGGAGACAATCCACCCATGGAAGAGACGTCGCCTTCAGAAGTTGTAAGAATTTCATCACTGGAAGCTTTCAATAAAAGACCGGGCTTCCATCTGTCAGAAATGGTGTAGGATCCCCTGCTTGGGCAGGGGTTGGACTAGATGATCTACAAGGTCCCTTCCAACTCTGTTAATCTGTATATACTAAAGCAGGGATTTCCAAGCCTGGCCATTTTAAGACTTGTGGACTTCAACTCCCAGCAAAGCTGGCTGAGGAATTCTGGGAGTTGAAGTCCACAAGTCTTAAAGTGGCCAAGTTTGGAGACCCCTGTACGAAAGAGTTGCTGGATACCCTCAGACAATGCCCAGTCAAAGATCTGCTGGCTGCACTCAGACAACACGCCAAACGGGACTAGATTTCTTCAACTTGCCTTTATTCTTTATGGCGTAGACCCTGAGCTCCACGTTGCCCGTGGGGTTGGTCTCACGCAGGAGTGGATGGTGCAGGGCATGGAGATCTACCTGTTCCTTACCGGGTGTTCCTGGCTGGGCACTGCCGGCGCAACTGAAGGCGGCACCTGCGGTTGCTGCAGGACCTGTGCGGGGGGCTTCTGCTGCCCAGCAACAATCTTGGCTTGGATGGCGGCTTGCTGGGCCAACAGCTGTGGTGGCGGCAGCGTGGCGGCCACTGCTCCCTGCTGCACCACCGGGAATTGCGGCTTTCCGGACGTCGGGGCAGCCTGTGGTATCCTGGCCTAGGAGCAGAAAGCAAAGCCTTCGTCACTGCCTGCCGGCGAAGTAAAGTGGAGCGACGTGACAGGTTCTCCCCATCCACCCACCTTCCTGCATGGACAACTCAGTCCAAAATGAGCCCACGGGCAATCGCCAACATCTAACTGAGGGTCGCAGCAGAGCTTGAGAGAGAAAGGGGGGAGGGGGCTAACCGGGCAGATGCACCAGAATATGAGATGCACCATTTTGAAGAGGTAAATAAATAAACACAAAGTTTTTGCACTCTGCAGGCCTCCCAAATCCTCTGCAGGCCTCGTTTTTTGCAACAAAAAATGGGGGAGGGGCATGCAAAGGCTTTGGGTGGCTTGTAGAGTGCTCCTGGGGGCTGGGGGCAAAAATGAGCAAAAGCAGTCCATATTTTGCCCTCCCAAGCCCCCAGGAGCACTTTGCAAGCCTCCCAAACCCTCTGCATGGCCATTTTTGCAAAGGTGGTGGGGTTTCGGTAGGCTAAAAATGCTGTATTCAGTGTATAAGACGCACCCAGATTTTCGCCCTCTTTTTTGGGGGGGAAAGGTGCATCTTATACGTTGAAAAATACGGTACATCAGATGGCTACCTGTCATGGAGACTGCAAGCAGGATTAAACCCCAAATCCAATGCCCTTCCCAGCTCACTTTGCTCTGGTTTGACAAGTTATTCTTCTCTTCCACTTCCTCATTCACAAAAGGATAGTAGAATAAACCCAAGTGAAGACTTGGAGGATTAAAGCAGACGTGATTTCGGTTTTCCTGGGACAACTGAAACCGATGGGGCACCAGGATTAACCCCCACAAAGACACTCTATGGCAGGGGTCTCAAACCCTGGCAACTTTAAGCCTGGAGGACACCCAGAATTCAACACCCAGCAAAGCTGGCTGGGGATGTCTAGGAGTTGAAGTCCTTCAGGTTCAAAGTTGCCACGGTTGGAGACCCTTGCTCTATGGGCTTGGATGACCCTCCCCATAATGATATACAGTCAGTTCTCTTTTAGCACTACAATTGGGATCACAGCTGAAGAAGTTTCTTGGATGAGAAGTGAAACGTCTTCAAAGAAAAACCATAAAGTTGTCTCTTGAAAAAAAAAGCACCTTTTAGGATATTTAAGCAAAGTCATTGCTAAGTTAAACCTCACCCATGCTTATTATGCATCTTATTTCAGCCTTCTTTTGCTTGGCAAGACTTACGAACGTCACGAACAGGATTTGGGCAACGAGTTACGCTTTTTTGTCACTGCTGTAACTGCGAATGGTCACTAAATGAGGCAAGGACTGTCCCAAGCTTTGGTTCTGCGAACCAACCCGTCAGCTCTGCTTTTGCCACCTCAACTCTCACGCCAAGAGGGAGACGGACACAGTTGGCAAAAAAAGCTGGAACTTCCCAGCCTTACCTGTTGTACCTGCAGGGGTGTCATCTGTGGGGGCTGCTGGTAAAAGAGAGCGGTGACCGGTGGCTGCGGCTGCTTGAGGAAGAGCTGGTGCTGCGGCGTGGCCTGGGCTGAAGGGAGCTGGGCTTGTGCTGTGGCCGCAGCAGCCACCGGCTGGGCAGCACCAGTGGCCTTGGGCTGGGTCGGTTGAGGCAGAGAATTTGGCTGAGGAATGGCTGCAGGAAGGGGAGACTGGCCAGCTGCCAGAGGAGCTGGAGCTGCAAGCAGAGAGCAGGACAGGCAGAAGGTTAAATGCAGCACAGGTGAGGCCCTTTCTTTCTTTTTTTCCAGAATATTTTTTTTAAAATTCTGAGGATCATACACAATTACAATCTGGAATAATACAAGTGAAATTGGCTTTCCCAATCACAAGGAGTTTTTGCCACAATTCTTTTTTCTGCAAGCTTCATGCTTTCTTGTGGGATGGAAAACTAGTTACAAGGGAATCAGTTAGAAGTTTCTCCTTAGTTCCAGGTTGCTTCTCTCCTTGATTAGTTTCTATCCGTTGTTTCTTGTCCTGCCTTCAGGTGCTTTGGAGAATAAATTGACACCCTCTTCTTTGTGGCAACCCCTGAAATACTGGAATGCTGCTATAAAGCTCTAGTAAGACCACATTAAAGTACTGCATCCAGTTTTAGTCACCACACTATAAAAAAGATGTTGAGTCTCTAGGAAGAGTGCAGAGAAGAGCAACCAGGATGATTAGAGGACTGGAGGTTAAAACATACGAAGAATGGTTGCAGGAACTGGGCATGCTAGTCTAGTGAGGAGAAGGACCAGGGGAGACAAGATAGCATCTTCCAATATTTGAGGGGCTGCTACAGAGAGGAAGGGGTCAAGCTATTTTCCAAAGCACCTGAAGGTCAGACGAGGAATCATGGAAGGAAGCTGATCAAGGAGAGATTCAACTTGGAAATAAGGAGAAACTTTCTGACAGTGAGAACAATCAACCCATGAAACAAAAGTTGCCTTCAGAAGTTGTGGGAGCTTCATCCCTGGAGGCTTTCAAGAAGAGACTGGACTGCCATCTGTCAGAAATGGTGTAGGGTCTCCTGCTTGGGCTGAGGGTTGGACTAGATGACCTACGAGGCCCCTTCCAACTCTGTTAGCCTTTATCTGTATCTTACCTCTCTCTAAGGTGAGATTGGCTCTCACCCTCCTGAGGTTAAAGACCTTGCCAGAGGGCCTGGAGAGCCAACAGGGAAGTTTCACAGTGGAGGTGGACAGCTCATTAAAGGCTAATTCCCACCCACCTGTATTCAGCTCCTTCCTTTGCCATCTTTGCCACCTGATCTTAATTTATCTACTTTGCCATTTTATGTCTGAAGATTTTAATGATTTTTTTTAGCGTCTTTAAGCTGCAAGCTGCCCAGAGTCGTTCAATAAGAGATGGGAAACAAATAAATTCCGCCATAAATAAATCTTAAACAAATAAGGGCTCTCACCTTGTGGCTGGATGCTGGCCTGGACCGCAGGCCTCTTCCTGGGAGTCAAGGCAGGTTGAATGGGCAGAATTCCTGGATTGGGTTGCGTTTGCCCGGCTTTGGGTCTCTGGCGTGGCGTGATGGATGTTTCTGTTGTAGGAATAGGATCCGTCAGCCTGCCAGGGACAGATATACAAAACAAGAGGATAGCACTGTGATGAACCAATGGCACACATGGCAAAGGTGGCACACAGAGCCCCTTTGGTGGTCATGTGCACCGTCACCAGCTGCTCTTCTGGTTTCTGGCTCACAGATGTGCTCCGGCCAGCCGGGGTGCCAGAAAACAGCCCACAAAATGGCCAAAACCCCAGCCGTTTTTCTGGCTGTTTTTCTGGCCATTTTCCAGGGCATTTTTTGAGCTGTTTTCAGGGCCAAAAATGGCCTTGAAAATGGCCCCAAAATGGCATGAAAAAACAGGGCTGCGCGTGATGGCCAGCTGGTCTTCGGGTTTCCGGTACTCCGGCACATGCACACACATTGCGGTTAAGGCATTTGGTTCTGAAAAGGTTCGCCATCTCTGAGTTAGAATAATGGCTGCTTTTAGTGGGCCCAGAGAATCCCCTGGTCGTATAGATCAGGGCTCACCAACCTTGGCAACTTTAAGACTTGTGGACTTCAACTCCCAGAATTCCTCAGCCAGCTTTTCTGTAAATGGCCAGGGTCCCTAAGATAACTAGCTTCCTTCTTTTCTGGAACCAAAGGATCCAACGGAGAAAAGCAAGGGACACACAATCCCTCAACTTTGCAAGAGAAGCTCCACAAGCTATAGAAGGATGCAAATTTATGCGATACTTTAATTTTCAACTGAACTGCAGAATACCGGCTCTCGCAATCCCGAAATCAGAAACGTGGGATCCTAGAATACGTGTCTCTATGAGCCAATCAGGAAAAGGGAGAGTCCAAGAGGAGCAGGTACCCAAAGTCATTAAATTGGGCATTAAGGCAGAGGTCACCAAGCCCCTTGCCGTGACCCAATTCTGCCCCACATCTATGAAGGCTCCTGTCTTCCAGAGAGCCGTGGACAGAGGTTTTTAAGGGGGGGGGGTTCCTTTAAAAAACATTTTTCAGAGTATTTTAGAGCATACCCAACAGTTTTTCTTCTGTCTTGCACTGGCAGGCAACCAAGCTGTTGGTTTTGGCCACGGTGGCCACGTGGGTGAGGTGCCACAAAAGCAGGCTCTGAAGGACCCATACAGTCCTTGGGCTCCACTGTCGTTTGCCTTTCCTAGAATGTAGTTTTCGGTCCAATCGAGAAGCTCTGGAACACTTTAAATCAGGGATCTCCAAACTTGGCAACTTTTAGGGTTTGTGGCCTTCAACTCTTATGCCGGCTAGGGAATTCTGGGAATTGTAAGTCCACAAAAAGTCGGCAAGTTTGCTTTAAAGTCACAGGATGCGTTCACACTTGAAAGCCGCCTCTTGCTTGAAATGGGCACTTTTACACGTAGGGAAGGGAAGGCCAAATCACCCCAAGTTGACTTGGAAACAGCTGCTGGAGTGGAGTGCGATTGTTGTGGATGCATCTATAAAAAGGACTTTTGTCCAGATTTGGCCCGATGGCTCTACATTGCTTTGGTATCCTTCCAGTTCTAGGAATACCCCACAAAGAGCTACGTTCAGCGGAAAGAAGCTCAACCTCCCAGAAACAAACACTCAAGCCAAGCAGAGACTCCAAGGGGAGAACATTCTGCAATAAGGAGGCTTCCAGGTAAGTGGGAGGAGACGGAACAGGCAAAATAATTCACCTCCGAACAACGACAAAAATTCAAGAAAAGCAAGAACAGACTAAGGAGGGTTTGGATCATCTAGAACAGGGGGGGTAAAACTCAATTTCATTGAGGGCCGTATCAGGGTTGTGTTTGACCTCGGGGAGGGGGGCATGGCCACCTCGACATCACTAGTGTCAGGGACGCCTATGGTGGCCTGAGCACTTTGCCATCGTCAACGGGCTCCCCAGCTCCATTTTTGGCTGCCACAGCGTCCTGCCAGCAAATACGGAGCTTGACACTCCTGATCTAGAAAAAGGCGAAGGACAGGAATGCCAAACCACAATTTTAATCCTTAACATCGGCCTTGAAATTCTGTGTTTTTTATTTAGTGTGAAGAGGGAAAGACTTTTTGTTATTTCACATTAGGCAACGGTAAAGGTTCTCCTTGCACATATTTGCCAGTCGTTCCTGACTCTAGGGGGCGCTGCTCATCTCCCTTTCAAAGAGTCAGTGCTGTCTGAAGATGTCTCCGTAGTCATGTGGCCAGCAGGACTAAACACCGAAAGCGCACGGAACGCTGTTCCTGTCCCACCAAAGGTGGTCCCTATTTTTCTACTTGCATTTTTAATGTGCTTTTGAACTGCTAGGATGGCAGAAACTGGGACAAGTAACCGGAGCTCACTCCGTTACACGGCACCAGGGATTCAAACTGCTGAACTGCCGACCTTTCTGATCGACAAGCTTAGCATCAACCAATTCCGTTGTATTTAAGTACAATGACAATAAAGATTATACTTACACTTATCTTAGCCACTGAGCCACCGCGTCCCTATTTTAGGTTATCTAGGCCTAAATTTGTCGCTTTGACCTGCTTCGCATTGTATCTTCATTGTATTTATTTTATTTATTCTATTTATAGGTCTGCCCATCGCACAAAATATGACTCGGTGGCATACGATAAAAACCATAAAATAAATAAATATTTTTAAACTTTTGCAATGTTTTTCATGGTCCATATTGACAGCAATCCCAGCTACTTTTATCTTTTGTTCTGGAATGTCGCTTCTAGATGAGATGGGCGGCATACAAATCTAATAATAAACAAATGTCTTTTTTCCCCAGTATCAAATTTGGATACTTTTTTTTTATTGAGCTCTCTCCTCTTATTTATAAAAATTCTGTTCTGCCTTTCCAAGGTATCACAGCTATTTTTTCAGTTCCTCCCATTCTCACTGAAAGGTCAGCTTTGATGTCACTTTTATTTTGATGTACCCTTTTACCTAAAAAGCAGATGATGCTCAATTTAAACTCTGAAAAACAGGTTTTTCCCACCAATAAAACCTTCCATATGCCACTATTATCTTATTCTCATCAATACTAAGAAGACTTCTATTTTAAAAGTAGATTTTTTTGGGTGGGGGAGGGCTGGACAACACTATACTCTCTTCATTTCATGTCTATACCATATATTTCCCCTATTTTTTTTAAAAAAAGGGATGTATTATTGGAGAACAGCTGTGTTAGTCTACGGTGCCAAAAAAACAGGCTAGTTAATATATTTTCCGCCGTATAAATTTTATTGAAAGGCATATACATTTTATTATTAACTCAATTGTTAATGCAGAAATGGCAAAATGGGATGCTTTTTACTAAAGGAAAAGGAAGTCTGAAGTGAAATACCTTTCTTTTGGGGATAACCCTATTTTTGCATGTTCTCCTTTTCAGCAAAATCCAGTTCTTGTTCCCTCAAGTCCTCATATTAACACCTGGTCTTCCATTAGCACCTCAGTGTCCATTAGGCCAATTTGGCCACGACCATCAAGACAAACCAAAGGTGAGCTTACCTAGCTTTGGGCTGGGTTTTCTTAGCAGCAGCTTCGCTAGCTTTCACAGGCTCTGGAAGTTTGGCAGGAATTGGAGAATTCTGGAAATTAAAAAAAACATCCTTTGCTCATTAACGCTTAACAGAACAAAACAGATTAACAAAGTTGGAAGGGAGCTTGGAGGTCTTCTAGTCCAACCCTCTGCCCAAGCAAGACATCCTACTATAAGGTCTCCTGCCTTAGAGGGGGATGGACTAGAAGACCTACAAGGTCCTTCCCATTCCTAGGAGTCTATGTTCTATGATAGGATGGGCCTTTGCATAAGGTCAAAGCAAGGGGCTTTGAAAGACAAGGGAGTCATTCCGTTGTTTTTATGGGCATCCTCTTCCTTCATCGTTCTGCAATTGTTGGGGGAAAGGCAGGCAGCCCTACTGAAGGGAGACGTCACTCACCTGGGTGTTGGGGACAGGACATTCCCTCTTGGCCAGCTTGAATGCAAAGTAAGAGACCTGGTAAATGTCTGGCCTCTTGTCAGGATCAGGTTCCAGCATATACCCTAAGAGAGAGAAGGTGGGTTAGCTGGAGACGGCAGCATCAAGGCTCAACTAGATTGCTCTACGGCAGCCCTCAACCTTGGTGTGGGGAGCTAAGCAGGCCATGAGGACTTGAAAGCCAGAGGTTGCCTCTTCTCCTGGCTTCTCCTGCTCCTCTGGTGCAAAACCACACAGAGGGAGCAGAAACTTCCTGTCAGGCCTGCAGCCATATTTTCTTTTGGATTTCTCACTGTCTCTTTGATGCAATCCCTGCACAATTTATTTTATGAATACACTTGTCAGGNGCAAGCTCTTCCATTCTGGAACAGGATCCAGTTGACCATTACACAAGACTTCCCTTTGAGTTTGGGAACAGGCACCTGAATTATCTCCCCCCCCCCACTGCTTTCCTTTGCATTCTCTTCCCTTCATCATTTTTCACTGATTGTATGCAACTGCCCTGCATGCCATTTTCAACAGCAAAATTCAAATAGTTTAGAGGTACCTGCGCACAGGTTTTTTAAAATCAAATGAATGTGATAATGAATGCACTATGAATTCAAGCAGTTTAAACCAATTTTTAAACAGTTCTAACGTTTCCAAAATGGCAAGAGGAAAAAAAAGGAATTTGTGCATGATTTTTTCACACATGAAAAGTACATTCTATTTGGCAACTCCCTCCTTCTCTAAAGTAGAGATTATATTATACATTATATATTCTGACAGCCACCACAGCTTACATTGTGCTGTCCCGCTCACTCACACGCACATGTAATGATGATTTAATGGGTTTATTAATATTCTCCAGCAATTCCCTTCATCAAAAACCCAGAACTATCCCAATTAAATACAGCCAAAAGCAGGCCAATGAGTCCACAAGGCACTTGAGAGTTTCCCAAACAAGATAAATCCATCAGGCAAAATTAAATCCATAACACTAGAGGCAAGAAAAGTCCAGAATTCACAAAACACGATCCAAAGCAAGGCAGGAATCACAACAACCAGGAAACATGCAACTAAGAAATGAATATTTTGTCCCCTGCATCATCTCCTTCTGTCTGCTGTGCTAAACGGCCAGCTTCTGGTGCAGCCCATCAAGAGGGATGAGACTGCCTCTTAGCGTGTAATCAGGCTGACCTTCACTGCCCCTGCCTTTTCTCTTCCTTACCTCTTCTGGGATGAAGTGCAGAAGGCGGTTCCTCTTCCTCTTCACCGATCGGCTCCAGCTGCGTGCTTCCCCACCTGAAGCCTCAGGGCTCTCCGGCTGCAGCTGTGCTTCATCCAAATCCCTCAGCCAGCAGTTCCACCAACCACTCCCCTCACTTGGACTCAAAACCCCTGCCTCAGAGCCATTGACCATCTCCCCTCCAGATATGTCTGGGTTTCTCCTCCGAACCAACATCCGGAGAGGCATCCGGCGAATAGGAACAGACCGTTTGGGGTATTCCACATGTTGTTGTTTTTGCTCCATTAATTTGCATTAGGCAGGGAGGCTTGGAATTAAGAGAGGATCAAAGCCCCCAAAAGACAACATTGTCAGAGTCAGTTTAATGTCTGTGACTCATGAGTTGCATTATGAACCCTGCCTTTCAATGTAGATGCAAATACAGCACAAGAACCACCCTGAGACTTCCAAAACTAATCCCCAGGGCTTAATTGGATGGCAACACCTTGGATCCCCTGCCCAATTCCACTGAGGAAGCCACAGTCCTTAGAGCCAAACCACAATCAATGTTCCCACCATACACGGTTTTACCACATTCCACCCTGCAAAGGTTAGAAGCACTGGAAGTCACTGGGTGGCACAAGGCCTCTTTTCCGCTGAAGAGGAGGAGGAAACATTCTTGAAACGACCCAGAAAGCCACAAAATGGGCCAAAATCACAACACTGGCATTTCTGGGGCACACGCTCAGGACATCACCATGCAACCAGTATAAACCACCTTCCATTCAGCACTTTTGTAATAGAGTTAAGATGGGGAAAAATTGCTGTGGTAAGACAGAGAGAGAGAAAGAGGGGTGTGGTAGCAGCCATTAAGAAGGGTCTTCCAGCAACAGATTATCATCACAAATAGTAAAATATTCAGTGTTTAAGCAGCTGAGGCAGGAACCAACAGGTCCCAGTCCAGTCGCCAGCGTTATGCCAAGCAGATTCTCCAACCCTCAAGGAGAAGGAATGGACTGGACCAACGGCCGCTGACTTGAAAAAGGCCTAGAACAGGGATGGCGAACCTGTGGCACACGAAGCCATGTCGCCCAGCACACGCTGCCTTGCCTGTTTGTCTTTCTGGTTTCTGGCACGCATGCATGCACCATGATCAGCTGTCCTTTGCGCACGTGGCAATGCCAAAAACTAGCGGGTGCATGCGCCCCGGCTAGCTGATTGTCACACGTGCGTGCCTGCCAGAACCTGGAATTTTGGCTTTTCTGGGGCGCGATCCCTTTGCGCACGTGGCAGTGNGTTTAATAAAAGGAGTTTTGTCTGGACCAGGACTCTGCCTCGTGCTTTTTGGGGAAGCCTAGGTCAGAACAACACATGTATTTGAAATCCAAGTTAAAGAAAATGATTCCCATGTTCACTTGACCTAGAAGCAAGCCACCTCATACTGCTGAACTGGCTTGAATCAAGTCACACAGGGTTCCCCAAACTTGGGACTTTAAGACTTATGGACTTCAACTCCCAGAATTCTCCATTCAGCTCTGCTGGCTGGAGAATTCTGGGAGTTGAAGTCCATAAGTCTTAAAGTTGTCAAGTTTGATGACTTCTGATCTAAGTGGAGAGATTGCAGAGGAAGGGTTTACAAGAGAGTAAGTTATGCTGGCTGGGGAATTCTGGGAGTTGAAGTCCACAAGTTTTCAAATTGTCAAGTTTGAAGAACTCTGAAGTTACCGAACAGAACAGTGGAGTGACTGCGCAACACCCTCAGCTGCCCCAGCCTCGGTTTAGCCTAAGTTGGCATGTTGTGCATAGCTGGCCACCAACTCTCCCAAGGCACCAGGACGCCAAGGGACTGGGTGGGAAAGTGAAAGCTAATATGTCCACCTTGCTCAGGACTCCGTCTCTGTATGCTGCCTGCAGGCTGTTTCTGAGCCAGACTGAGAGAAGACAAGAGGCCCAACTGCACATCTTCGGCATGCAAAATAAAGGCCCCCAGATACATGGCGAGAAGAAGGCATATCGCTATTTCTGGCAAAGAGAGAGGTGAAGCCTTTAAGAGGAATGATTGATTCTCTGTTCCTCCTCCATCAATTCAGACTTCTAAAGGAGGAAAGCTGCTATTGATGGGAGCTGATGCAGAGATAAATAAAACTGCTGTCAAGAGGCTGCCAAGTGACTCTCCACTAAAGGAGGCCAATTCCTGGATCTTTCCCCGTTTCCCTTCTAAGCAGACCAACGGATGATTCCCAGAGGCAAGAAGGAGAATGCTTCCCAAACGTTGCCCTCAAGTTCACCTGGCAGCCACAATTCTCCTCTCCAAATTCTATATAAACGCAAAGAACCTGGAGGATTTTTCCATACTGATCTCTAAGTAGCTGGGAAAACTCCCCTGCAAGGACCCCCCAACCCTTTCGTGCAAGGTAAAAGAAAGAAGCAGCCACTTCATTAGCTAGCAGGAAGCCAAAAATGTCTGCAGGTGTCTTCAGAGCTGAAGATTTGGGGTTAGAGATTCAATGGCTGCAGTTCGAAACCAGGTTCCACCCAGTGTTGGCCGGGGGGGCTGCAAGCTCTTGACCACAAAGGCATGGAAATTTAGAGACCACTCTTGTCCTTGGGGAGGGGGGCAGGCTAGAGAGCTTGCTTCTGGATAGGACTGGAACCAGAACTCAGTGCATCCCCATTAAATGCACATTGGGTGCATTTACTAGTTCCTTTCGTCCCATTAACAATGACAATTTCAGCAACTCTGCTTGGAGGAGATCTGTAGCTGCACTGCAGGCAAGGGGTATGTGTGTGTGTGCATGGGTATTGGGGGGCAAAAAAAAAAACAAACCCTGGAGCCACAGCTCCCTGTTTCTGCTTTGAGCATTCTAGAGCCAGCCTCCATTTTTGAAAGAAGCCCGGAGACTTTTGCAGAGCCGAGAATCATAAGACTGCGGCAGGATGTAAATTCAATAAATAATAAATAACAAATAGCAATGCTTCTCCTTCAAGATGGACTTTTATAAGCCGTTTACCCCACCAAAGTATATGTGATTTGTACGTGGCTGGTTTGGCTGTTCAATTAGGTGGCCTACATTGTCAAAGAGAAGAAATGCATTTATCACCTTCACTATGTTCTGCTTTTCTAGTCTTTCTTTTTTGCTATTAACCAAAAACCAATAACAATAGCACTTTCTCANCCTTGGAGAATAGTTTGACTCCCTCTTCTTTGTGGCAACCCCTGAGATATTGGAAGACTGCTGTCATGTCTCCCCTAGTCCTTCTTTTCATTAAACTAGACGTACCTAGTTCCTGCAGCCGTTCTTCATATGTTTTGAATCTGATAGATGTACAATGTTTTTAGGTACAAAAAGTACTTTTTTAAAAAACCTTGGAAACAGGCAGACTCACTTCTTAATTTCTTCCTCCACTATGTTCACTCCCTCCAACTGAGGGTTCTGTGATTTATTGGTGGCACTGCCAAAGTCACAGAGGACATAGTGGCCACGATCGTGTAACAAGACGTTCTCCACCTGGAAACAAAAGAGGCAGGTAACTACGATAAGCTCAGGGCAAACAGGTGGGCAGTGGGGGTTTTATTTGGATAATGGATAACTCCTGGAGCGCCTGCTGCCCCGAACCAGGTATTTCAACGAGACAAACATTTCAAGCCAAACTAGTTCCTAGAGATACTCCAGGGCTTTCCTACCTGAGCTCAAACAGATGGATGCTGTTAGCCCAAAGCTATCCTTGTAATTATTGGTGCTTTTATTCTGTTTCTGTCCTCTTTTAATTGTTAAGAGTCACTCATACGGAATATTATCCAATGTTCTAGACGAGATGGGCAGCTACATAACTGTAATATGCAAAGGCAAGAGATCTGATCTAAGTTTTACTGATGTATTTCAGAGTTTTTACTCCCTGGAGGGGAAGCAGGGAGTCAAGCAAATTCACTGGGATGAAAAAATAGCTTTGCAACCAATCTACAAATTCATATTCTCAGTCATCCAGGTCATAGTTGTCTCAAAGGTGCTTTTTCAAGAGGCAGACGACTTTCTTGGTTTTCTTTGAAGATGTTTTGCTTCTCATCCAAAAAGCTTTTTCAGACCTGTGTGTCTGTATGACTAAATGCTTTAAAAAGTGGCATCATCTACCCCTCCTGCCATTCCTGGTGTAATCCTCTTGCCCGCCAGAGGAGAATCTTAAAGCTTGTCCAGGTTGAAAGGCAGCAGCAGATATTGTGCCTTTCCTCTTACNTTTAACTGGGTGGGGGAAACCGGGAATCTTTCAGATTTGGGTTTTCTCCTCTCTCCCCTTTCCACTCCTCCTTTCTCTCCTCCTCTTCCCCCCCCCCCGCGCTCTCTCATCCCTTTCTTCTTCCCTTACCTCTCTCCTCTGCTTCACACTCTTCATCTTATTCACTTGGTGTATTTCAGCTTCTGCAACATGGCTCTCTTAATAAGGGGAGGCCAGCCGCATTACATAATAGTTTCTTGAAATAAACCAAGAGCAAGCGATGTCTCAGAGGCTTGTAAACCCTGAACCCAGAACTGGCTCGCCTTCTAAATGGGATACTCACTGATTAGGCAGTGCATCTCCTGGGTGTAGCGTGAGTTGTCAGGAATGGTGAAGTTGCCGTCGCAAATGGCCACTTGGCTCTCTCCAAATGGCAGAGTAAAATAGCAGAGTTTGTAGAGCAAACAGCCCAAGGCCTGAAAAATGAGCCAAATTTCAGAGTCTCATAAAAGCAGCCGCCCCACTACCCAAGACCTCCCTGTCTTCCACTGTTTTCGCACTCGTGTGATCTGCCTCATTGATGTGGCCACCCTATATACCCGCAATGAGGAAAAAAAGCATTTTCCTCCAAATAGAGGAATTATGGGGTTCTGCAAGTCGTTATTCTTCTAGGCTCCAACCTAAAAGGCTTTTCGTCCTCCCTGAAAGGTGAATTAAGAAACTGAGTAGCCCAAGTTATGATGTGTAACTTTAGTGTTGTACCTGAAGGCCAAATACCGCCAGCTTAAGAATCACAAGACACTCTATAGCAGGGGTCTCCAACCTTAGCAACTTTAAGACTGGTGGACTTCAACTCCCAGAATTCCTCAGCCAGCAAAACAACCTTGGCCATTTAAAGACTTCTAGACTTCAACTCCCAGAATTCCTCAGCCAGCAAAGCAACCTTGGCCATTTTAAGACTTGTGGACTTCAATTCCCAGAATTCCTCAGCCAGCAAAGCAACATTGGCCACTTTAAGACTGGTGGACTTCAACTCCCAGAATTCCTCAGCCAGCAAAGCAACATTGGCCACTTTAAGACTGGTGGACTTCAACTCCCAGAATTCCTCAGCCAGCAAAGCAACATTGG